CTCCCCTCGAACCTATGCTCTGCTGGTCTAGAATTGTTAGTTCCAAACGGAGGAATGCGTCTACCTGAAGACAAAACACTGATTCCATTGAACTGGAAGTTAAGAATGCTACCTGGCCACTTTGGGTTCCTTATGCCTCTGGATCAACAGGCAAAGAAAGGAGCTACGATGTTGGCTGGTGTGACTGATCCTGATTATCAAGGGGATATTGGATTGATGTTACATAGTGGAGGAAAAGAACAGTATGTCCGGAATACAAGAAATTCTTTAGGGCATCTCTTAGTACTACCATGCCCTGTGATTAAAGTCAACGGAAAACTACAGTAACCCAATTACAACATGACTACTAATGGGTCAGACCCTTCAGGAACATTTTTTTCAAAACAATAAACAGGTGACCTTTATAGACAAAAAAGTACACATTTATTTTACATGGACCTTCATTTAAAATTACTATGTAGCAGATGACAACAATGCCTAATTTCCAAGTTTCTGGAATTTTTTTAAATTAATTCAAACAGCCAATATAAATCAGAGAGTATTTAGAATTAGAAGTACCCTAATATAATTAATTACTGGAGCCCTGGTATCGCAGTGGTTAAGAGCTATGGCTGCTAACCAAAAGGTTGACATTTCAAATCCACCAGCCATTCCTTGGAAACCCTGTGGAGCAGTTCTACTCTGTCCTATAGAGTCACTATGAGTTGGAATTGACTTGACGGCAATGGGTTTGGTTTCTGGAAGATAATTACTAATGTAAGTAAATGAGTAATTTCTTAAGCAATATTATCAATTATAGACTAGAGTTTTAAAATTTATTTTTATTTCAGTAAAAACAAGAATTTAAAGATACTCGATATAAAAATGTTCACACATGGAATACACCCCTAATGTGACACTAAGAAAATTTTCAGTGTAAACTACAATACCATATTTGGATATACATCCATGAATTTTAATTTATAAAAATCTTTAAAATGATTTGCAACTTTAGAAAATCTGATATGTAGGGTGAAAATACTCGTGCAAGTGATTATTCTTGAATGCTATGTATTGGTTTATAGAAGATTCCTAAACAAGAGAGCAGGAATTTGGTTCACAGTTTATAAACCTTGCACAAATTTTGTTATGATAACTTGTTACCCACAGAGGAAGCCACCCATGAACAAAAACAATCTTGTTGTTTACTAATTTTATACAATCCATTGTAAAACCTCCTTGAGTCTGAAGCTTTAACCAACTGTAATTTAATGTGAACCGTAACTAGAGAGAGTGAACAATAATAAATTAACATAAAAGATAAGCAGTATCAGAAAAAGCAGATGATACAAAGAGAATCAACATTAGGTATTAACATATATAATCAAATCAAGTTTGATTGTTTTTTACATTGCCCAAGTGTAGTGAATACAAACTTTTATTTACCTAAAATAGAACAATTTTTATTTACCTAACCCATTACTTCATATTGTAGTATAGAATAAATTTTATGAATGCAAAAATTTGATCTTCTGTGAAATTAGCAGCATAGTTTAATTCAAAAGTCAAAAGAGATTTAGCAGATTTCCAATTCAAATAGAATTTTGTAGGATTTAAATTTTTTCACAAAGCACTGAAATTCTGGTAACCTAAATCAAGAAATTTCCAGTCCAGCTATGGTTTTTTGACAAATTCAGTAGTTAAAAATGCAACACTGCATAGAAAAGACTCTTTTCTGTTAATTTCAAATATATTTACAGCTTCATATTTTTTTAAACAAATTATTTACTCAAATAAATTCTTGCAATCGTGTACTGGTTCCTATGACTATTTATTGACAATTATTTCTGGATTATATAAACATCTTAATTATCAGCAAGTAAATCTTGTTTTAAAAAGTATTGAAAAGTGTGGGCAATTATCAAAAGGGATTCTATTTGTGTCTCTGGTTTAAATTCTAATTAGTGATTAACAGTGATTCACTATTTTATATAAATACAAAATCTAATAATTTGCTTTCTTAAATCTGTAAGGTATATGTGATTACAGACATCTTTATAAATACAAATTTTGTTCAGAAATTGGATTTTATTTTAGAAGATATGTTCCTAAACACAAAATGTATTTTATGAATTATCTTAAGCTTAAAGAAACACAATCATTGATTTTCATTATTTAAAAAAGAATTACAATGCATTACAAAATATTTGTTAGTGGAAATACATCAATTTTCATTTACCTAACCTGTTACTTCATATTGTAGTATAGAATCAATTTTATGAAGGTAAAAACTCGATCTTCTGTGAAATTAGCAGTATAGTTTAATTCAAAAGTCAAAAGGTATTTAAAGGTAGTATTTCCAAACAGAATTTTGCAGGATTTAATTTTTTTCACAAAGCACTGAAATAGCTTTTTATTTTTTTTTTTCAAAAAAAAAAAAAAAAAAGCTTTGTTTTAAGCTGTTTAAAAAAGTTTCAAGTATTCTACAGATACAGAGGTTTGGAGAACACTGAACTCTTTCCAAAAAAAGCAGCTATTTTAAGTTATAAGTTTTATAAATTCTAAGCTATTATAAGTTTTCTTTTATGCCATTGTACAAGTCTTGCAGACCCGCCACCCCCAATCTCATTTTCACCTGAAATAATTATATTCAGGTTTTCTCAGCAGGTAAAGTACACATTCTTCGTTTCTTACAAGGTTTCAAATTTCAGAATTCCAATAATGCGTTTAAACTGAGAACCCACCGAATCACGTTCTCTCCTCTTTGTGTGTGGGGGGGGAGGAGGCGGGGGGTGCCTATTATTTTGCAATTCTGTTATTTGCACTAAATTTTAGTCTTTTTAGCTCCCCAGAAATATCTTAGTGAACCCTCAGCAGTTGCTAACCATTTAATAACTGTGAACTAGCCAGCCCTTTCAAGTAGGTCGTTAACCACAAGAGTGCCTGACAATTTCCAAACCATATCCTCTGTCCAAAAGGAAAAGATAAGGCTTTGTGAGGCCGAAAGGAAGCGAAGGAAAACAAAACAAATGTAGCTCATGCTGAAAGTGAAAAGTGCTTGGACAGATTAGTATTTTCTTTTCTGCAAGGCGTCCTGCCAAACTTTTTTTTTTTTAATAGAGAAGAGTTATTTTTTGGTCTGATTTTTCAGTTTCTTGGGAAGTGTTGGTATTTACCACTCCCACCGGTCCCTCATAATTACTGTTTGTTTGGTGTTTTTCCCATCCGTCCACATCACTGATATACCCCCGCCTCACCCTGTCAAAACCCTAACTCTTGAGAGCCCTGGGTTTGGAATCTCCGGCGACTCCCGACGACACACCCCACTCTTTCCTTCTCACGCCTCTCATTTAAGTCGCGAGATCCCCCACTACAGTTTCAGTGAAAGCTGGAAATTTTCATTTAAACTCCCCCTTATTGCCCCCCACTCGGAACTAAGCGCTGGAGAGC